TTAAATATCTAAAGCGTAACGCAATATCCTGTATTGTCAATCAAAATGTAGGTGTCTGAGTGTTTTTCGCCCTGTATAGCAAAATCGATTCTGCTGAAGAATTCGATGATCGATAAAAATACCTTTTCTTGACAGTCTCAAATTAAAAATCAAAGACAATGCTGTTCGACGTGACACAAATCAAAAAGGACCCCAAGCACAAGGTGCACGAATCTGGTGCGTGACAGTGCGCGTACGTTTTCGCGGCAAACAATCGCGTTGGTAGAGTGCGCTAGTGTCGTTGGTGTCAAGTGTCAGTTGTCAGCGAATGGTCTCCATGGCCACAGCCGCCTCATCTCCAGGGATGGTCAGTATGGCGGGCCTGAAGCGATGCCTGTCGCAGATGTCGATGCTCGCCTTCAAGGCCAGCACGTCAGGGGAGGAGGCCTGGGCACACACGTGGTCAAGGTCAGTTTGAATTTCTAAAATGCATACTCTAGTCTCGATCCAATATATGCAGAATACAAAAGCAATAGTGACTCTCGGCGGCTGAAGCTTCTGCGGTTTCACACTCACCTTTTGAGATATATGGAGTTAAAAATTAAGTTTATGGTCAAAAACGACACCAAAATGTTGAAAAAAACGAGCCTGAGGAGCATCAAAAAAGAAATTATTCTCGTCACACCAAGCTACTAGAGAACTAGAGCATCAACATTTCGCTGAAGTACAATATTTTTAGAAATGTCCCACATTTTCATGACAGATCATTGCATGAATAAAAACGCTGATGTTAAGCAGCTCAGTGTCATTTAGTCCTACCTGTTGAATTGCGAAAAGCTAGAACGGCTAAATATCCAAATTGAACCAACATCTTCACAAAATTAGAATACATTTTCTCACTCACATTTTTAATATAAACTCACGTAACCCATCCTTTCAAGGTTGTATCAATATCACACATTCTTACACTCATATGAACTACACACTTTTTTCCAAAACAAGTTAATTTAGCATTTTAGTAATTTTGGGTGGAGGTTTACCGAGCGTCCCTCGTATACTTCATACCCAAAGTTGGACAGGGAGGTTTACAGTTCCACGGTCCGTCGCGTCAATCACTTGTCATCTGTCGACGCTTTATCTTACGAAGGTATCTATCGTTTTTTAACAAGCCCAATGTCCCCGTCCTTTTGTGTTTATACTGATTACAACTTCGATCTTCTTTACGTTCGTTTTGAAACACCTTGTGGCTGTAACCTCACCGACGAGTAAGTTGTCTGACAATTTAAATCTGTCCTGTTTTCTTTGCTAGCATCACAATTGTGTTTTCAGAATCCTGTTGAAGGCCCCATAGAGAATGCCAAAAGCTTGATTTTATCGTCAAAAGAGTCAACTTAAGCCTAAAAGATTTGCTAATTTCTCAATTAACTAATAAAATATATATATATATATATATATATATATATATATATATATAGTATTCATAGTTAATTGCCTTAACTGTTAGGAGAAGATATCCTTTAATTTCTTTGGGTAGAAAGCAAAGTATTGCAAAAGTACACTCTTATAACTTAAACTCTCAAGCTTTCGAAGATCTATGTCTTCATCGTCTGGAGTCGGCCGGTGTTGGATAATGTGGAGGTTATCAGTGAAAAAAAGATGAAATCTCGGGGGAATTTTCAATAGTTGATAGTTTTAAAATCTCCATATTTCTTCCAAAATCAATCAACGGTTATTAAAAAACCTTTCAAAATGATATGCCATTTAATAATAAAATAATTCCGTCCTAATCGAACCTCATCAGTCCAGTTTTTTATTCGTCGACTATGTGTTCCCTTCACTGTTGTTTTAAAACAAATTTCAGCAACAATCTCGCCGACTTACTCCAGACGATAAAGACATAGATCTTCGAAAGCTTGAGAGTTCAAGTTATAAGAGTGTACTTTTGCAATACTTTGCCTTCTACCCAAAGAAATTAAAGTATATATATATATATATATATAAAAAAAACCTAACTGGTCTAGACGACAATGACCACGTCTCAAGTTATATATATATATATATATATATATATATGTATATAAACAGGGTGTCCGCAAAGTTGGGGTTTTCCTTTTCAGAAACAACTACACTTGAAATAACAAAAGTAATGTGTAGTGAAACGAGGGCGACCAAGTAAAAAAAAAATAAAGGAAAAAGTACTCACTCTCCAGTTGACGAGAAGGGCTAAGTACGTCTCTGCCCGAAATCATATCGCTCCAACAGAAAATGAAATCAGCTGATGCGCTACCGAGCAGACGCAGAAACCACATTGATTGTCTTACACTTAATGGCACATCTTCTAACAAGGAAGGCAAAATGTTGCGTAAAAAGTCTAGGTATTGCATCCCGTCCAATCGATTTGGGAGAATAAATGGTCCAATGAGCATACCGTTCACCATGCCAGCCCAAACATTCACCGAAAATGTTTGTTGAAAATGTGCCCGACGGACAGCGTGCGGATTTTCTACTGACCAAACATGAGTGTTGCGAAAGTTATTCACCCCATTACGCGTGAACGTAGATTCGTCTGTCACCAATATGCACTTCAAAAAGTCCGGATGATTGTCATGTTGATGCAACAACCACTCACAAAACCGCACTCTTGCTGGAAAATCGTCAGGTTGAAGGGCTTGTACACGTTGGACGTGAAACAGATACAGCCCCTCTTCACGCAGCGTTTGCCACACTTTAGTTTTTGATACTTGCACTTCTCTAGCCACGTCTCTAGTGGTTGTTGAGGGATTCTCGTCTACGCGATTACCTCTACATGCGTGACCGTAACCGTCGGTTGAAGGTTGCATACTGACCTGACACACTGACCCCGACCCAGTTCTGCCGTCGGGTTGAGACCTTGTACCAATCGGTGATGTCCCGGGTCGCGGCTACAGGACGGTATTCAGATATTTTTGATGTTGCAGAGCCCTTTGTCTCGGTTCCCTTAAGACATTGGTGTATGTGGTACTAAGAAAAATTGCTTATGTTTTCAAGATCTACACGTCGTGTAAAGGAAAACCCCAACTTTGCGGACACCCTGTATATATGCATGGCACAGTTAAAATTTTTAGGTCGATAAATATTGTCTTGCAACACAGTCTGAAATGTAAGTTTGCTGTTATTCTCAAGCATCGTCTGATCATATATGTTATTTTAGATAACTTCTTTGATAAAGAGGTGATGTGTGATTCCCAAGTTAAGCTTGCATCAATAATCAATCCATGAAATTTCACGGGTTCTACTAAATTACTTCTATGTGGACGAGTACTGTGTAGAAGAGTTTGAGTTTTCGCTATGTTAATTGACAAACTGTTGGCATTAAACCAGTCTTAAATGTTGTCAAAATGCTGCTGAGAATCGAGTAGTACAAGTTACTATTAAAGGATATTGATGTCGTGTCATTCGCAAATAATATGTATTGATTGATGCTACAGTTTGGCAGATCATTGATGTAAATCAAAAAAAGAATCGGTCCCAAGACACTTCCTTGGGGAACTCTGTGCTTAATATGTACATTGTTAGATAAACAATTTTATCATACTGTCTTCTGTCTGATAAATAAGATGCAATTAAGGACAGGCTGTTATTACTAAAACCATATAGCGACAGCTGTTGAATCAAAATGAGATGTTGGACACAGTCAAATGCTTTTGTAAGATCATAGAAGTTAGCGTTACATGCAGGAATTCAGATTGACAAGCAGATCTCTTCCGCTGAGCTGGAAAAAAGAACTCTATATAAGGCCTAGCCTCGAATATTGCTCACGCGTTTGGGGTGCTGCCGGCCCGACTACATTATTTATACTCGATGCTGTCCAGAGGAGGGCTGTCCGACTGATCGATGATTCTTATCTAACAGACAGTCTCGGGACCCTTTCGCACCGGCGCACAGTGTGTTCCTTTATAGGGATCAGGGACAAAATTCGATATCTTAAAAACTAGTGGTCCTATTTGAATTCTGTAAACGCAGGGCGATTACTTATTTAAGTAGCTTTCTAAAGTATGAAAAAAATTATTCGAAATAATAAGAAGGGGTGGGGGAGCAGGCGGGATACATTTCGCATAAATCGTTTTTTTTTTGTAAAAGTCTAAATATTAAGTTGATGATCTCGAATAAATTGGGATAAGGTAGGATATTATTATAGCATTCTTAAGAGAGACAAAAAAGTCACGCTTTTATTTTTCAAGATCTTTACCGAATGATTTAAAAGATAATGTAGCCAACTTGTGGCGGGCGCAATATGATTTATTAAATTTGTCTATCTATTTGAAAAAATAATAAGAATAATTCAAATAAAAAATAAATATGTATAATTTGAAATTGATATTTAGGTTTTTATTCAAAAAATATATTTAACAAAATAACAATTACTTAGTAGGTAATGTATGAAATAATAATATAAACTATATTAAAAAAATAACACCAAATATACCCATTCTAATCGGAATAGGATTTCTTGCTCGGTGCTGTGTCATTCGTTATTGTACCTAAGTCAATATCTAAATCATCATTTTCTTGCTTTTTTAAATAGTTCTGAACTGCCTCGTTGCATTTCTTATATTTTTTTGAGCTCACCTTTCTTTTTGAGGATATAAAAGGATCAGAACATTTTCTGGTGTGACATAATCGATGTTTCCTAACCTCTTTATGGCGAGCCTCAAGCGCATCATCCGACAGTTCTCCAATGGGCAAACAAAATGCATCAATTATCTCACACCCATGAACAAGGACCTTATGTACCGTGTTTGGCATGCTGTACCACTTATAAAGGTGGATATACAAATTTCTTGCTTCTTCCAGCAATGACGCAAACTTTTCCATATCAATAGTGCAACCACTAGCCAACACTCCTAAGATGATCGCAAATTTCTCGATTAATTCCCTGTCAACCCCTGTGATATCTGAACTTGTTTGTGGATTGTGGAAAAAAATTCTGGCCGTATTGCCATCATTTGAGGAGCCATACCCGGGTTTTGGTTTGTCAACTATTAGAGACAGCTTGGCTCTGAACTCTGCTTGGATTCGTTTTTGTTTGCTTCGACTATAGCTTTGTTTTCAGGCCCACGAACCTGCCAAGATTTAATTGGCAGGCGGTATCCAATATGGAGTAAGCATTCAAAAAAACGAATCCAGCAGTGTAAAGTTGACAAACCAAACCGGTAATTGTCTACGTTAGGAGGACGGTTAATCCCTGCTAACGTGTTCATGTCCTTGGGTGTGGCTCCGCAAATGATGCACTTCATAGTTGAATTTGTCTCTGATAGAACGTTTCCAACACTGCCGTCCAACATTGTTAACATCATATCAACTTCAATTATATAAGAGTGCCCTTCTTTTGTTTTAATCTCAATAGGAATCAAATTTTCAATTTTTGTTATTATTTCCTTTTCCGTATTCCGCACTAAATCAGCATTTTCCTTTTTAAATAAAAACTTGATCGGCCAACAATATAAAGTAGATGAAGGGCTCTCATTTTTCCACAATACCTTATTCGTTTCGATATCAATAAATCTGAGTGGCGTCATTGCTACAAGAAACAGAAATTCGTCGGTGTTTTCTAAATCAGAAAATTTCTGCTTATATTGGCTATGCCCAGAACTGCCATCAAATCCCCACTTGCATATCACTTTAATCCGGCAATCTCTCTCTTCAAAATTAATTATTTCAAGGATACTTTCAGCTGTTTTCTGTACAAGTTCTTTGCAAATCAACTTCTGCAGAAATTTCAGTAATAATAAATTGTGAAGGGAGGATAGCATTTTTTGTTTTCTGTAATTCTTTATAACTAGGAAGGCAGTTCTGGGCCTTACCATTAATAACAGACCTAAGTAGCAAATACTTTCTTACGGATATATCCAAATCTACCATAAGGGCTAAAGCTTCAGCTGTACTAAAACTAAAAATTTGTGGCGAGACCTCACTGTGATTGCTTCTAGAAACGACATTTACAGCAAATTGAAGTTCATTTGCAGATCTGTCTGTGGTTAGTTCGGCTACACGTCTTCGTTTTGTTTTCTTCGATGCCTCTTCAAATGGCACCCGTGGCCGTCCAACTGAGCGACAAGGAGGTTCTTGTTCCTCATCCGAAGATGTGTTTTCTTCAGAATCATTATTTATTCTATATACAGGGTGACTTCGAAGTTGAGTCATTTATTTTAACAGTGAGTAGATCTGATCAAAAGAAATGTTTTTTTCCTTTACCATTTTTCTGGTAAAATTAAAGTAAGAAAGTTATAGCCCTTTGGAAGTTTGAGTACCGCCCTGCCTATTATATGCTCGTGTTTGGCGACAACGGATATAATCCGCCTGACCGGTTCATCGCATCGGAAACAAAAAAGCGAAAGAATTTGGAACGTTTATCACGATGTTTTTCGTCAGTCGATAACGCGTAAGTGAATAGTAGTGTGTTGCGTGGTTCAAACGAAATCAAAAATGGCACATGTTTACGAAAATGCTGAACTTGTGGACATGATTCTTATTTACGGGGGGGCAGTCTTTACAAAATGCTCCCGGATGCATCACGGATTTACGCGAATCGGTTTCCCAATCGAGTGCAACCAACCCCTCGTGCCTTTGTTAATGTAGTACAAAGGGCTCGTGAATCAGGTGACTTAAGACCTCACAGGTGAGGGCATGCTGCTCCAAGACCGCACGATCAAATACAGGTCCGCACTGAAATACTTGTCGGGAGGATACTTTATTAAACAAGGTAACATTTTTTTTTTATTTTTTTTTATTTTTACACACATATTTTGGTTTATCTTCCTTCTACAATCATTATCTGAAAATTAATGACTCAACTTCAAAGTCACCCTGTATAATCTTGTCTAACCAATGTACCTGATTTTGTAAAAGTCGATTCCGAGATTGTCCTACTTTCTGCCATTTATTTGCCATTTTCAACCCAAACAACTGGCTGCATTTCATAATATTACTTTTAAGATGTTTGGAAGGTTCATCTGTTATATCAATAAGAGATAATATCTTTTCATAAACCACCTGTTTTCTATTTCCTCTCGGTGCTTCTATCCACACATCAATCAAATCTCTATTTCTGACAATAGCACCATGTCCTAAAAAACATTATATCTCCCTTAGACGTGGCATTACGTGATTTAAACTTTTTATCAAAACTTACTAGGGACAGATAAACAGTAAATAAAAAAATGTTTAGGGTGATGGGAGGTGATTTTTGTAAAATTCTAAACAAAGTCAAAAGTTTAAAAAAAATTAAAAAAATCGGTAATAGTCACTTTAACTATAATTATATTTTAAATAAATCCATACATCAATATAATGTACTTACCAGCCTCATTACCAGCCATATTGGAAAAGTTAAAATATTTAAATATTTCGACACAAAATTTATATATTTCCCGAGCAATAAAACAGAGAGATTTTTCGCCTTCTTGACAGGTCTCGACATGTCGAACTTTAAAGTTGCTAAAATAGGTAAATCGCAGCCAACTTGATTAAAGTACTATACTTACGTGTTGCAGTGACTATTTATCTATCCAATGGTATAATAAAAGCAACAGAATTCTAATGTCAAAAATTATGTTTTTGAGTAATTTTGTCCATTGGGCGCCACACTGTGCAGCGGACCGTCGGCGATCTAGCTCTCTTCTACCGCTACACCAACGGGCTTTGCTTCAGAGCTCTCTTCCATGATGCCGCCACGCGAGGTGCCTGCCAGGCAGACCCGCCTGACCTTGGCCTCACATCCCAACCGTGTCGAACTTCGTACATCCAAAGCTGGCCGATACGACCGCTCCTTTGTCCCGAAGGTGTCGAGATTGTGGAACAATCTTTTCCCAGTTCTACTAACCTTAGGCAGATCAAAAATCGAATTAACAAAATTTCTTTGGGATCATCATAGCATCCGCGATGTCCTGGCATTTAGGCTTCTGCCTGCGCGGCTGCTTCGGTATAACAAAATGAACTGATCACAGCGTTACGTCGGAAATGCAGAGTCTACACTTACTACTCTACACTTACAATATGAATAAGAGACCATGATTTGTTGGAAAATTACCTGGTACGTAATTAACGCTATCTGGTGTAGCACAGACCGCTTGGATACGAGTTCTTCTAGCCTGATAGGTTCAAAGCAGTGTTCCTAAAAGTATAATTAGATGGCATACTTTATCGTGAAAGCAGTTATAAATCAAGACGCCGTAAATCGGCAAAACGCTTATAACTTAGTAAAAAGTAAACCATCGCTGAATTACTTTATCGTTCGCCAATAAAAAAGGTAATTGAAGTTTTTACGATAATCCTAAAATTACGCAGAAAAATTGGGTTAAGTTATATAAAGTGGCCTGACGGATTGTGGAATTTTACCGATTGAGGTAAGAGAACTCTTGATTATTTTTTGATGTCTGGTTTCTTGGGTCATTTCCTGCTGCCTGCCTCTCTACATTTATGAATGATTCTGCGAGCTTGGTATCTGTTCATTGTTTTCGGTAGTTTTCTTTCATTGTTTTCCTTATTATACTAAGTGACATATAAATCCGAACACCCAGTTTAAATGGTTTTATTTTAATAAAATTTTGTATAAGTACTTAATGAAGCATAATAAGTAAATGATAAAAATTTCAAAATGATTGCACTGCTTTAAAGCCCTTTGACCTTTAATAATGTGTGAATGCACCCTGATGTGCTACGCATTCTCCAACGCGCCTAGGCATGCTTCTGATCAGGTGGTCAATGTCCTCCTGTGGTATCTCATTCCAGGCAACCACCAACTCGTCTCGAAGTGCTTCTAGAGTCTGAGGAGGACGATGCAAATTGAGCAATCTCCTACCCATCATATCCCACACGTGCTCAATTGGGGATAAGTCGGGAGATCTTGGTGGCCATGGTAAGAATGTGACATCATTATGTTGAAAGAAGTCTATTGTGACTCTTGCAACATGTGGTCGGGCATTATCTTGCTGGAAAGTTGGATCTGCCAGGGTGTCAAGATAGGGTAAAAGATGGGGTTCTAGAACTTCGTGGATATAACGCTGCACGTTCATGTTACCTCTGATGAAGATTGAAGGTGACCTGGAACCATAAGCTAGAGCACCCCAAACCATAACTCCAACAGTGTGATGAACATGTCTTTCAACAAAAAACTGCGGATTCCTCTTTCACCACGTCGCCTTCTAACCCTGGCACGACCATCGTGCATGCCTAAACAAAATCGAGACTCGTCACTAAAGACAATACTGTTCCATTCCTGATCCCAGAGTGACCGTTGTCTGCACCACTCAAGGCGATTATGTCGGTGTTCTCGAGTTAAAGGGAGGACCCAGTGTGGCCGGTATGAAAACAAGCCAAAACTTCTCATTCGTCGGTAAACACTTCGCATGCCAATAGGTCTTCCGTGTTCTGCAAACCATTCATTTGCAATGAACCTGGTAGTGGAGAAACGGTCCCTTAAGGCCAATAATCTTAGGCGGCGATCTTCACGGTCTGTTGTTCTACGGCGGCGTCCAGTGCCCCTTGCTCTTTGCGTACGGTCTTCTCGAAGCCATGCCTGACAACACCTAACCACAGTGTCTACACTTCTTTGCACTCTAACTGCAATTGCCCGAAAAGAAAGTCCAGCTTCCCGAAGTCCCACTATACGGCCCCTATCAAACTCACTAAGTTGACGAAATCGTACAGGTCTCCGTACTCTAGGCATCGTAACCGATCGTAAAGGATGTCAAGAACCAAAATCCGCCAACGTTGATTCTTTACTGCGGCTGAAATATTCATTTTTAGAGCGTTAGTGAATTAAAAAAAAGCAGTATAAAAACCGGAATGTCCAACTGATAATGCTGAACATTTTTTCACTTGTTATTTACAGTAAGATAAATACATTCACCAACTTTTATTAAAATAAAACCATTCAAACTGGGTGTTCGGATTTATATGTCACTTAGTATATTTCAAACCCATTTTCGCACGCGAGTTCACAAGTCTGGATAATGACACGACCCGCTTCAGGCCTGTTTATGTCATACATTCCATTCCTCAGGGCACTTGTTGCCAGGGTAAGCTTCCAATTGCGTTATTTACACTCAGTGGAAATGTCGGAGCGCTTGAGATATGAAATGAGGAACTCCGAAAAGGGTGGTTGGTGCATCGTTTGCCAAATTGAAACGGCGAACATGGCAGGTCTTTTTCTATCACCTAAGGTCCCTCAAACAGTTTTTAGCCCAACGGCATTAATTATGTAGATTTTTTATTTTTTTTAATTTTTAAAAGAATTCTAAGAACGTGAACGCTTTTATTTTTTTTACAGAAATTCAAAATTGAGAATTACATTTTTTGGTTCTTCTTTGTAACACTTTGTGAGTTTATAAACAAAGACTACATGCTGCTGGCAAGTAATGTTGATTTTGTAATTTTACTACAACATCACCCATTAAGATAAATCAATCATTAGGTGGACATACTCTTTATTTTTTTTATTTCACTTTGTGTATTACATTTTGGTGTTTTTACTAAAAAAAAGTCTACATAAATAATTCCGTTGGGCTAAAAGCTGTTTGAGGGATCTGAGGTTATAGAAAAAGACCTCATCTGTCCGCCATTTCAATTTGGCAAACGATGCACCAAACTGCAAATATGAACAAAACAAAATGTATGAGTATTTCCAAAGGTTCACAAAGCATAGAAATCCGATTAGAACAACAAATAATACAGCGAATAACACAGCGTAAATATATAGGAATAATAGTAACAGAGGATGGAAAAGTTGAGTCAGAAATAATAATAATAATAATAATAATAATAATAATAATAATATTTATTTACTCTAAAATACAGGGAACATGAAACGAGTAAATAAATATAATATATCCATAGGAGGACAACGCCTGTGCATGGATCATATGTATGTTGAATTGCAAAATATAATAAAATAGAGAGAAAAAAGAAATTATTGGTAAGAATGGTAGAGCATTTATTGTGTAATATTTGAGATTATTTTATTAATTTGATTTCTCCCAATTGTGTTAATAAATTTTTTTTTGAAGCCTAATGTATTGCGTAATTGTTTTAAATTATTTGGTAAATGTTCGTACAATTTTGGAGCTATATACAGGTGACATCGTTTCATTAGGGATTTGTTTGGTTTAGGAACATTTTTTGCGCGTAATTTATATCTGGTTTTATGATTATGTTTAATTATGTCGTGTTCACTAATAGTTTTGTGATAATGAGTGATGGTATGTAAGAAGTAAAGTTGTTTAGTATCATATACTTGTGCATCATTATATAAGTCATTAGTTGGGTATAATTTTGATTTGCCTAACATTGATTTTAAAATTCTTCTTTGAAGTACATCTAAATAGTTAAAGTATGTCGTGCATGCAGCACCCCACACTACTATACCATATGTTATGTGTGGCTCGACTAAAGCTTGATATATTATTCGTAGATAATATTCAGTTAATATACCGGTTAGAAATTTTATTTTATATGCTATGAATCTAATTTTCTTTAGTATGTGAGAAATATGTACATCCCATCTCAAGTGGGGATCTAGATAAATTCCTAAATATTTTGTATCATTAACTCTATTGATTTTTATATTTTTATCATTTACCTTAAACCGAAGGTGGTTATATTTTGGTAGATGATTAGATAGTGATGAAAATGGTAAAAAATGAGTTTTAGTAAAGTTAATTGTTAATTTTCGGTTATTAAACCACTGAATAATTTTGCAAAAGTCATTTTGGATAATATCTTTTAAGTATACAAGATAGAATAAAAACAGCTACAAGATCATACTTCCAACTAAATAACTACCTATTTAACAAAAAAGAAATATGTACAGAAATAAAAATAAAGATGTTTAACTCAATGTATATCCCTACCCTAACATATACATAGTTCAGAGCTGTGGATATTGAGTAAAAGGCAGAAACAGAAAATACAAGCAAGTGAAACAGAACTGCTAAGAAGAGTTGCGGGTGTGAAGATTATGGATAAAGTCAGAAATGTAGAAATAAGAATAATAGATGTCATATCTGTGGAAAAAAGAATACCAGTGAATGCGCTAAGGTGGTTTGGACACACGATTAGAATGCCAAATACAAGATTGACGAATAGGGTCAAGAGCGTTGGAAAATTTAAGAAAAAGATGAAAGGAAGTGGAATGACGAAATAGTGGGGTATTTAAGACTAATGCATTTGAAGGCAGATCATAATGAAGACAGAAAATATGAGAAAACTGAAGATTGTCCCAAAAACGGAAGTTCCTTTTTCCAAACGCATACCCTCTAATTTTGCTTGAACAATTCAAAATAAATCGTTAATAAAGTTTTATGTACCTAGAACCAGGACAACCCGTGCCGCGTTGAGTTGGAACTTGTCAAAACTTG